GGTTTAGTTAGGCGTCGAAGTATTATTGAAGCTAATATTTTAGACACTATATTTGTCAAACTGATTCCTCTGTGATTGTCACAAGAGGATTTTTGTCCTTTTTTCTAGACTGGCACAATCAGTGATTGAGACCAGTCAGATGGGATTACGTCCAGTTCCCAAATTCTACCTAAAACCTCAGTTAATCTCACTGCTAATACTGAACCATCATCCTTAAAAATCTCAGGAGTAAACTTGTCAGGGCCTGCTGCTCTCCCTCGCTTCAGATTTCCTATGGCTTTTTCAACTTCGTAAAGAGACGGAGGACCTACATTAACTTGCCATTCAGATTGACTGGAGATTGTGGGAAACCGAAGTGTGGCTGAAGGCCAGTTGAACTGATCCCTAAAGTGTTCTGCCCAACGATTCAATCTCCTGGATTGAGAATGTATAATATGTCCATCTTTCTCTGAGAGTGTTTCGCTAACAGTCGGTTTCCTAATACCGGTTTCCTTAACACGTCTGAACAATTGTCTGCTATTACCTATTGCCGCTACCTTTTCCATCTCTCTTGCTTTCGCTACCCACCACTGTTCACGATCATTGCGTAGACTTCTTGTCAGCTTGCGCTTAAGCTGACTCCGCTCTTCATTATGTTCAGAGCCAGGTGGAATGAGTTTCCGAGCATCTATCAGTGCGATAGATGCTGCTGAGATCCAGTGTTTCTCCCTAACCTTGTGGTTTACCTTACTAGCAGACATCACTGCTGTTTCCACAGCTTTTCGGATATCATTCTATGCTGCATCGGGGTGGGCATCACCTACACATAGCTGCCTAACTGTTTTCCTAGTTGTTCCTGAAATATGCTCTTAGCTTGACTATCATTAAGTAGGCCCCTAAGAGGTTTACTTGCAGCGGCTTTCCTACGTCTAGTAAGACGCAGACAGATACGCGCTCGTACTAGAGCATGATCTGAATCTAAGCATGTGCTCCAGAATGAGCGACAGTCTTCTACCGAGCCCCTCCATCGGTGACTGATAGCGATGTGATCTATTCGGGTCCAACGTTGGGACGAATTAGGGGGTCGCCATGTTAAAAGATGTTTTTCCTTATGCTTAAAGTTAGTATTTGCAAGGAACAGTCGGTTATCTGAGCATAGCTGCAACAGACGGTCGCCATTATCTGTTCTTTGGGCCACGATGCTATGAGATCCACCCAGGTGTCTTTCCCTATCGCTTAGTTTACCTACTTGAGCATTAAAGTCACCGGCCATTATTACTACATCCTAGCGCCTAGCTTTTCGGAGAAGGTCGGAGAGCTTTCTGTAAAACTCATCTTTTACATCATCTGAGCTGCAGTCAGTGGGAGAATAGGCAGAGACGACGAAGAGGCAACGACGAGTGTCCCTATCTTTCTGGATCCTTACTGTTCCGTTTAGTCGGACAGCGCACAAACGACTGTCTACTGGGATCCACTCTAAGAGAGATTTTATTCGGATGAACTGGTGCAAAGAATTGTATCAATAAGTGTGTGCTTAGCTATAGAGAGGTTTCTTATTCCATGACATATTCAGATAATCACCTAAAATGCACATACGGCTACTAGTTCCAACTATATATATATATATATATCACTAAATTCTATAATTTAATACTTAATGACTGATCTATATCGACCTTTTTTAGAAGTTCCTCATCTGTAAGATCCTTTCTATAGGTTCTACAAGCAACCAACATAGATTATTAGTGGTGTGGATCACTGTAAATCCCTTGGTAAAATACTAAGTGCAAAGGTAACCAATTAACACGACAAAATAAACTGTTACACAACCATAGGTTCACAATACACCAATGAAATTAAGACGTCACCATGAACGGTCGATTTTACAGAAGAGTTCCAGACGTTTACTGTACATTTTATTTATTTGAACACAAATATTAGTACAAAGGGGCACGAAATACATATACGCCACACAATAACAATCAGAATGTAAAGTGCGCATTCGCATATATATATTAAACATCTTCTAGGAAAAAGTTGTGCTGAAAAAAGGATCTTTTAGCAGAAATTTTTGAAAAAGAATATGCCTAGGGAAGACTCCACAAGTCTTGAGAAGACCCTGTGTAGATGCCCATCGTCTGAATTCCTCCGAAACCCCACTATAGGTCGCCTCCGAATGTATTACTTAGGTTGAATCATCGTTTCTGGAACCTACCTCTGTTGGTCTCGTTATTGTCTGGAAGATCAAATAAGCAAATATTTAAAATCACTTCTCATTTTTCAATGAGAACCTAGTTGTTTTTAGGTTACCTCATGCAAAAGATGAGTCTTGTCACCAAAATATGTATTTATATGTTCACAGTTCTTGTTCTTTTAAACTTTGATAAGAACTATGCGTTATATGTCATCTTTATTCGCTAGTTACAATAAAAAAAAAACATTCACAAAATGTTTCATCGGCTATCAATCTTTTTGAACCTTGCAGGTATATTCCAAACCACTATACTGTGAATCATTGACTGGTTTCTGCTGTACTCGAATTGCTGCCAGTGCTCAATGGACTTAACTTGTTCAATCTGCCTTAATGTCTTGTTCAAACCAGTTCATCTCCCTTGCAACCACCAATTCTGCAAGGACTGCATAGTTCAGGCTTTAAACTTCACTGCATATCAATGTCCTATTTGCAGATACAGACTTTCAAACTGGCTACGGAGAGTAAAAGATATAGATTCAGTGATTTCCGAAAGTAAAGAAAATGAAATTCGAAGTCTTTTTCCAAATTATTATGATGCCAAGGAATCGGGAATGTCTCCTTCCTTGTCTGAATTTGAAATCAAAACCCTTGCAGCGAAAAATAAAGGTGTGGTTGGTTTTTTGTTCAAAAAATCGACATTAATGTTTGTTAACATTTATGTGAGACGATTTATATGTTGTTTTCTTGAGGAAGTGAAGGTAACATCTTTGTAGTTATATTACATTAATTTTTGAAAAATCTTAATTATTTGTATTAATTGTCATTTCAGATCCTATTCCAAACTGTTTCGCCGAGCCAGGAGATGTGCATGATTATTATATGAAAGAGATCGAGAAGTATTCACATTTACGTTCTTTAGAAGATAAAGAAAATGAAGAAGCTTCCTTAGCACTAGCTGCTCAGCTCCTATTTGAAGATGGTCTTAACTCGCCAGCAGATGACGTTTTACCCTTTGGTAGGTCGCCAGTTGGTATTGATGCATACATAAAAATCAGAGTGCCAGGATAATGACCATCACATTGAAAATAACCTTACACCCATTGCTTCCTCCTCATCCAGAAGTAAAGGAATAAAGAAAAGGTGCGGAAGAAAGCAAAATAAGAAAGCGACAAAAACAAGCAAAACATTGTTGGATTACGCTATCAATACAGCTAACGTCGGACTCAAACCAGAAGTTGCGAATGAACAGGTACACTTGAATTTTGTTTCCTTAGAATTTTAATTGACCAGCGATAGCCTCTAAAGATCTAGACATCAATTTCATAATTTAAATGACGATTTAGGAAATTTGGCCAGAAAGTTAAACATTGCTCATCAGGAAAACGGTCTAAACAGTAATTATCACTATATAAAAAACTAATTCTGCTAACAGCTAACTCAAATATCAGTTTGAGCTATGCGATTAGTTGCTCGGGCGATTTCAGTTAACCCCCTCTACCCAGTACCTAGCTGTAGACTAGGGTTTTGATATTAGCCTATTTATTTTAAGCCAGATTCGGATTGATGTTTCAGTTAAGTATTCTTGAGTAGCTTAAGCTCTGATTTGAAAGATGTCTTCAACTAGTCCCGATCAAAGCACCCGTAGTGTGGTTCAAAACCACAATTCAATTTAAGTGTTCTGACAATTACACTCAGATTATAGCTGCATCCGTAATGTGATAGTTAGACTCGTCAATGGTGATCACCCAGCCAAACTTTGTTCGACGGAACATTCGTTCTTTGAAACTCTGCCATACCAAACAGGTTGGTTTGATATCAGGAAATTTAAGGTCCTAGCTTTTGTTTGAGTCATTCTCTCTATGCACATCTGTGACTTGCGGTAGTGTCACTGAACCACAAAAGCAGACAGTTTGTAGGGATCTCACTCATGAGTCCGAGACGGATGCCTAGTATTCCTAATTCCTCATCGGTTCCTTAGCAGACAGCTAATTAAAACAATGTTCGCAAACCCAATAGTCAGGTTTTAATTTTTGTAGATTGAAGATCTTTCTTACTATCTTTAATCATCAAATCTAGTCGTTTGTTTGTGCTTAAATTATTGTGAGACCGAATTAGATGGATCGCTAATTCATTCATTATTTCCTACTTGCAACTAGCATAATAGCAGGCAAATCGGAAAAAGTATGAGACGTAACTGAAGAACTAGTTTGCCTACGTGTAATAGGACTTCCGGCTGATACATTTTTTTCCACTTTATATAGATTTTGTGTGATGAGACATTTGCTCGGAGGTTGCAGATTAAATATTCAAAACTGTTGGGTAACATGGAAGATCATAAACGTCTGAAAGGTAGAAAATAATATTCTTGATAATTTTGTGATTATCTGTGTAACCATTAAAACAATATTTAACGCTACTTTATTTTGTCATGCAAGATAAATATAGTGTTCGTATTGTATAGAATTAAACCAAATGAACACAATTATCTATAAAAGTTAATTTCCCGAAGAACAATCCGCAACTTACGACTTCTCAACTAACTATGTACTTGTCGAGATAGTCAACACTCATTAGACCCATGCTATCTAATTAACATTCGAAAAGGATCAACTTTGTGAGCGTATTGTATTGAAGGTTGATAGTCGGAAGTATATTTAGAGAGCTTTTGTGCGTATACTTGCGTACCATTTACAATGAACATAGAAATAATCTTTGTCATATCATAGGTCTTTAACAACTTGTTTTTAACTGGGTGTTACTTGGCTCCCAGGACTATCATGATGACTTACTGTAAACATGAACTTTTTATATTATAAAGCTCTGGGGACTATTCGATAGCAAGTGAAGTTGTGATATTCTTAAGTCTGAAAACCGTAAGGGACAAAAATACTGAGCGTATAAAAAAATCAGCTGCAGATGAATCAAGTGAATGTTACAAAGTTCTTCAGGAATAGCGTTCATATCGTACGATGCAGTTTTTGTACATATAGACAGAAAAGTACATGTATAACCATCTGAACCAAACTAACTGTGATTTATGACTTATCATACTGAAATAAGGGACGTACAGTAATCGGAAAGGTGAACAAATGAAGTTCTCTTTAAGTAAAATAGAAAAGAATAGATCAATTAAGAAACAATATTTACGTAAAATGGAAACACTTTGTAGGACAAATAGTTGGGGAATAAGTTGGTCTCTACACGCTTTTTTTAAGACTTTTGCAAGTACACAGTGGTTTCTGTGTCCACTCACACCAAATTCGTCGAAAGTCACCACAGAACGGGAACGGAACTTATGACATGTTTGACAGACGATATCAATCAATTCCTCTGTTGGCCAAAATGAACTAGGACCATCCTCAAATGTATCTGAATCAATAATGGTTGAACATCGGATTCCCAATTTCTTCATTGCAACGTCCAGTTCACGCTTCCTTTCATGACCAACTCCACCATAATTCCCAGTGGTAAAGCAAAGCAGGTCGACGTCGCAACCGCTATTTACTAGTTTGAGTATAGTCGGAGCAAAGAACATACATTCATCATCTGGATGCGCAGTGATGAATAGGACTGGCTGTTCTATATTTGTTCGTTTAATTTGAGCAAGAAGTAAAAGACACAGCCATAAAATGAATGTGAAGATGTTCACCCCAATAACTGTAAGAGAAATGTTTTATCATAAACCAACGAGATAGTAGGCATGGAAAACAAAGTTATGTGATTCACATTACCTAGCTATAAAATATAAAGAATCCGTGTTCATCCATACTTCTGTCCTCGAGAAGTACATTCTGTATCTTTGAGTAACTAGTTTCATATTTTCTGTGTTCAAGAGCCAAAATTCACTTTTTACCAGTGAAAGATAAAAAGTGTCTTTGGCTCGAAGGGATCACATGACACCTAATTAAACTGGCGTTAATCAGTAAGTATGAAATCACTTCCACTAAAAGCATTTTGGTTCCGTTTCATAAGTGTTAATTGATCGTGGAAACAAAAGTTACTCGATAAGTTATTGACCAAACATTTTTACAATGTACGGAAGAAATATATTACGATTAGAGTACACTCAAAGTGCATAACTAACCACATTTTGTCAGCCTAACAAAATTCATTCTTGTTATCTCCAAGTGGTAATGAGTTAAGATAGCGTTTGGTATACTTTATTATGTTCAGTTACTTGGGTCAGTTGTGAGATAGTAACTCACTGATGACAATGGTGGATGTGTCGCTCGATTTCGTGGATTAGTTGAAGTTAGACATTAACACCGTTGGATGCCGGCTCAGTGGTCTAGTGGTTAAGTGCTCGCGCGCGAGACCAGTAGATCCTGGGTTCAAATCCCGCGAGGCGGGACCGTGGATGCGCACTGCTGAGGAGTCCCACAATAGGACGGAACGGCCGTCCAGTGCTTCCAGGCTTCCCATGGTGGTCTAGCATCAATTGACTCATGATCTCAACAATTGAAATTATTTAGAAGTTATTAGTTGTAAGTGTAAGGACATGTAATTCGATCTTTAGGTTTAAACGATAATGAAAATTTTTCATATATAAATGTTCTTAACAAGTGTATGTGTGATCAGATTGTTCGAAATGTATTGCGCAAATATATCACAATTCTGATAAACTACGTCTTCTCATTGCATTATCGAAATTTATCAAAGGGACTAATTGTTTTAGATAATGCAGAACTCGGTACTTAGGCACAGACTGATTTCATATCAAATTATGCCCTGAAAATAATTAGTAAATAGAAGTATTTGGAAGACTAAGTTGCGGTAGGCTGTTTTTCCTTAATACCGGCATCTAGTTAGTAAGCAACTCATAGAAAACTTGTTAAACTGAAGAAGTACAGTTTATAGTATCTACACTTCAAGTGTATGTACTGTCGACCGTACGTCTACTTGAGATCGACCTTCAACTCCAGTGCCCCTAAATGATCTGGTACGGCCGGAAGTGGGGAGAGTCAGCTCTCCCTCGAAATACTCTCACAAGGACACGCGTATACAACCATTGCCAGGGAAGTCCTACTCACTGCCTTATCGTAGCGGGGGTGTTGTTTACGAAATTGAGAAGACAAAAAGCGAATTTCCGGCTTTTTAACCGGGTCGGTGGATACGGAGTCCACCAAGAGGAGCTGGAAAACCCTGATTCCAAACCAGTGGTGTACATTAGCTTCAGGATCCTGAGGAAACAAATGGCGTATGAATCTATTATTGGTCACCAGGTACAATGGGAGAGCATCTACTTACGTCGCTCCACTGCCTTGTGGATTAAACTTTAGGTCAAAGGCTCGGGGTGGGCACCCGGGCAGCATCCCAGCTCTAAGATGATTTATGTGGCGCATATCTGTTCGGTGCCTCGTTGTACCATTGTTTATGTGTTTAAACAAATAAATGAAACATTTAAATCCAGTATTGCGGACTAAACATCACAGGTTTTTAGAGACAATCATATGAATAGTTAAAGTTAATTTTGAAATCATTTAGGCAATTGACTGTTGGAATTATCAGTACACGAATAAAGTTAATTACAATTGAGAAAATTAGTATAGAGAAACTTCAAAGTGCGATGCTAATGTAAACACTAGGTTGAATAAAAGATAGGAAATTGAAGAGATGTTTGACAGTCTGATTATATTATGCTATGTTGCTATTGAAGTGCTCAAAAACTAGGCTAGCGAGGATCTACAGAAGGACGTGTCGATGCGTGTCTTCTGTAGACAATACTAATTTTATTAGTTTGGGGGACGAAATCTTGTAGTTTGCTTGAGACGGACCACATATTCGGCGAGAATAGGAATGATACATTTCCTTTTCATGTGATAATTTTTCTACTCATTGGGATATTACAAATATATTTTCTTTTCATTTATTATTGTTCTAAAATTTTTTAATTCAATAAATGTTATTTTAAGAAACTTACATAAAATTATCCACAGCATCATTTGGTTAACTTGCATCAAAACAGTGGTGGTCGTTGTCACTAACTCTTACTGAACCATCTGAACTTTTGAGTCCTTAAAGATAGCAATCTAGAGTGATGAAAAGACAAGAAGCTAGTTGATTTGTGAAGTGATCATTTTTAAGCTGTCGAGTCAACAAAGGCTACCTGGGAAACGAAAGTGAATTCCACTATGGGGAATGGAATTATTTAAGAAGGAAATAACACTGTCTACTTTCTATTTACACTAATCTGACATAACTGAAGGTACGACAATTAAGCTTACCGGAAAACCAAGAATCTTACTACCTGAAATATATGATCTTTATTCACATTGAGGATTACATAGTGGATGTAAATAAAATTCCGGATAATAGTTTTTGGTGTAAGTGACAGTCACTCTGAAAGAAAGACAGGACTTGCAATTTAACGTAGCTAGACTGGAAAAGGTGTTAATTGAGACAAATACGTATTGTCTGAAGACCATATATTTTGGATGATACTCTCCGTCTTCCTAAATTAAAATAGATGTGACAGTATGCAGCTCAATGGATAAAAGATGAGTGCTTTAATCAGTAGGCCACCGCCCTACCGATTGAGGTTTTAGGATATTTTACATCATGCAGGACTTTTTTGTTCTTAACACTATCTTCCCACTATATCTATTGTACTGAAACATTCAGTTCGACCGTTCGCCACATAAACTACATTTTTATGTTAGCGGGACATAGACTGGACTAAAGCATTTTAATGCACGATTGCTTTGGTGCACGCTGATTGGCTAATTCTTACCCAATCAGCACCAGTCGATAGTTGGAGAATACTATAGAATCTCCTCATGTAAAAACTATAAATATACTGACGTTTTTTCCTACTGTGCTTCTTACTTCCATCTAACCTTGTTATTTGGAATATAATCTCTTTCCTGTTCAACCGTGTTCTGATTTGGGGTCTTGTCGAGTGACTTGGTGTCCAAGAATACTAAGCAATAGGAATAGCTGGGTTATCACCGTAAGAGAGATTATAACATTAAGAGACTCTAAGGAAAGCGAAGTCATGAGCGGTCCCCATCGAAATAAAAGAATATCATGGCGTCAGCTTTACCTGAATGGCATAAACGTGTGTTTGCGTTAATTCAATGTCTTACAAAAAATCTCATCACCTAGTACAAAGTAGGAAACAGGATTCCACGTGTATACTGTATTTATATAAATTATGACTCACTAGGTTTTAAATGCACACATCATGATGGACATAGGATTTATACCAAGGGAATATGGTCGACTGCGCAAGTTAGTTTTCCATAAATTGGTAAGATGATCCAGTATTTTCTGCTTTTTGCCTACCTTAAAGAAAGTCTTATATTTCACCCAATATTTTCCTAGGTCGGTTGCTCGGCATATTATAGTCCTCCAAGAAATCAAGGATATCCAGAACGGCGGCACATGAAACTCTTCGTTGTATCGTGGCACAAGTCCATGAAGTCACTGACAAGTGGACTGAGTCATGTTGGTAGGTGTAGACTACCTGGTTGGGGACCGCGAGTTGATAACAACCGACAGTTAGAGACCCTGAATGACATGGCTCAGAATCGCTTGCAATGGCGCAGGTGCATACACTCTTTGTGTTCTCCCAAATTTTAATCTCCTGAATCCTCCTTGTCTCTTTTTCTCCTCCTAGATTTGTTTCACTGTATTATACTCTTTAAATAACATCTCCAGACACTAATTTTCCCGATTACTGCTTATACTCTTATTACCTCTACCACTACGGGATTTGAATCGACCACTACATCTGTGTGCTAATGTGGTGTGGCAACTCGAACTGATGTACGTACGTACAAAGTTCTACATTGTTACTGACTGACTGTATCGTAAATGTAAATGTGTCATGTAAAGCTTAGCTGTTCATAAGCTTAGGTTGAGCACATTAACATATAAAGCGCCTATAAAAAGGCAGTAAAGAAGACAAAGTAGCGGTTTGTATCAAGGCCGGGTACTAAAAGTGGCTTCCATCATACTTCGTAGGTTGTTCAAAACCCGAGAAAGATTGACTCGCGAGGAGCAGGCTGGGTTTCGTTCTGGTCGAGGATGTATTGATCATATCTTCACCCTCCGCCAAATGTTAGAACATCGCCATACTTATCAAAGGCCAACAATCGTAGTGTTTCTTGACATCAGAGCTGCCTTCGATTCGTTGGACAGGACTGTTCTCTGGGATTGTCTATTGAAGAAGGGTGTACCTGAGAAGTTTATTAACATCCTAAAAGCCCTACATAAAAACACCTCAGGCAGAGTGAGGGCATACAACCACCTCTCTCCATTGTTCCATTCGAGTAGTGGGGTTAGGCAGGGTTGCCTAATCTCACCATTCCTCTTCAACTTTGCCATCGATGACATTCTGGAAACAGCTCTGATAAATGTAAGTAATGGTGGTGTGGATCTGTTGCCTGGAGAAAGACTTCTCGACCTTGAGTACGCGGACGATATTGTCTTACTGTGCGATAATGCCCAAGGCATGCAATCCGCAATTAATCAGTTGACAATCAGTGTCCGTAGGTATAGTATGTGCTTCGTACCTTCTAAGTGCAAAGTACTTCTACAACACTGGCAGGATTCTAATCCTGTACTCACCCTGGATAGTGAGCAGATAGAAGTAGTCGAGAAATTCGTGTCTCTGGGTAGCTGCATAAGTGCTGGTGGTGGCGTGAGTGATGAGATCGATCCACGTATTATAAAAGCCAGAGCGGCTTATGCCAATCTGGGTCATCTTTGGCGCCTTCGTGATGTTAGTCTGGCTGTAAAAGGTCGGATCTACAACGCGTCGGTGAGAGCAGTTTTGCTCTATGCTTGTGAAACCTGGCCTCTCCGAGTTGAGGATGTTAGAAGACTCTCTGTGTTCGATCATCGTTGTCTCCGAAGGATCGCTGACATTCAGTGGCAACACCATGTCAGTAATGCAGAGGTTCGGCATCGTGTGTTCGGGCACAGAGATGATAACTTAATTGGTGTCACCATCTTGAAACACCGACTTCGGTGGCTTGGACATGTTCTACGAATGTCGTCCCAGAGAATTCCACGTCGTGCATTATTTACCGACTCTGGGACTGGTTGGAAGAAGCGGAGAGGTGGTCAGTGCATGACATGGTGTCGTGGAATGAAAGAAAGCTGCAAAGGACTGGCTTCTGTTGGTCCTTCACGACTCCCTGGTTGGGGTCCGAGAGATGGTGCTACACAGTGGCTAGAGACGTTATCAGATATGGCTCAGAATAGAAGCCAGTGGCGATCCTGCTGTAACCTTCTTTTACTTTCTTCATAAAAAATGGTTCTGTCTCCCTTACCTGAAAGATTTCTTCCGATTGTACCTTTGCGTTCCCTGATTACTAGCACATTACCTTACACCAATCTCTTCGTTATTGTTCTCTCTTTTTTTGCGCTCCTTAGCTTTTTCTTTCTTTCTTTGTATTCCTCTCAAATTTTCATTGTTTTGTGTGGCGCATATATATTGGCGCTCTCTTGTACCAATATTCATGTGTCCAAATAAATAAATAAATAAAAAAAGTGCCCTCGGCCGAGTGCATGAGTATAAGTACTTGATGAAAGTGGGTGGTGAGTGAAAGAACAATGAGCCGATATATTTGATACGTCCTCTTTTTCTTTGTACCAAATCTGGACAACTCAGAGGACATACCAATTGATTAAAAAAGCCAAGAATGAACAAACTACTCGTAACATGCAAGTTATCACGGAGTCATCAGTTCTTGGGACCTGTTACCAGAAGAAGTACAAAAACAAAGAGGGCAGTGGTATTTTCCATCGTTAAGTAAATCTCTTAGTATTCTTTGTATTTGTAGATGTAAAGGCTTTTTTGTACTTGTTTGAGTCGGAGTTTTGTTTCCAGTTACAGTAACATACAAATCTCAGCTTTTTGTATTCAGTGTCTATCACCTTTAAAGCCTTAAAAGACTTATTCTACAGACCAGTTTTTTTCTCTGAGACCACTAAACAATTTTATGGCGCAAGTAAAACTTCGTTGTGGCAGACACGGATGATTTTTCTCGGTGAAGGATGGAATGAAATATGACAACTGCAACAAGCGGTATCACAACGTGTGCACCGGACTCACGCCGATTGCATGTAAAAGGTGCCGCAAGCCATTACACGTTGGTTGCGCAAAGCAAGCTGTTCATGATTCTTGAGCTAGTGAACATAGCTAAAAGGATGCCCTAAGATAAACATCCAGCAACAGATGAGTAGTTTTCAGTTTTCGAGGAAGCAGCAAGCGTTATCATGAGTCTAGTTTTAGAGTTGAATTAAACGACCAGGGTGGACCCCAATAGCGTAGCTGATAACGAACTCACAGATGTAGGTTTGGTTACCACACGAAAAATTGTGTTGAGAAGAAACAAATTATAGGGAGCTCTAAGATATGTGAGTCGACAGTTTCAGCTCCAGACCCACATATCAATGCAAAACAGATTATTGGGGAACAAAGCCTGAGCGGTGTAGACGATGTGATCAAGAGACATATTAAAGTCAATGAATGGCTTACAGTTACACCCAGAAAAAGAAAAGTAAGGAAAGGAGTGAGAATTTTGCGTCTGACGCCAAATTGAACTGCAGGGACGGGACTTTAGGAAACAAAGCTTCACAGCTTGTTAAGATGGATCTCGTTGATAGGTTAGTCATCCTTCATAAGTAAAAAGAATCTTCCGAAAAGGAACGCAAGGCTGGGTTTAAACACGAACTAAGCCATATGCAATTCTTAATAAGTAAGCTACTTCCCGTAACAGTAGTAGGAGTTAGCATCTATAAGCTTTGTAGAATGGGAGAAAAAGTGAGTTCTGGAAGTACACAGAAAAACCGCCTCTTGAAAGTTACCCTTGTTTCTGCTGAAGAAAGAAACCTAATACTGGAGAACGCACGCAAACTTACTGGATCCGGAATACATGTCGGTGAGGGCCTCAGCCTAGTTGGTCGCGTTAAGAGACAGTCGGCAGAGGTAGAAATAAATGAGCGC